ATCTCTTGACCTCGTGATCCACCTGCCTCAGCCTCCCAAAGTGCTAGGATTACAGGCATGAGCCAACGTGCCTGGCCCAAAGTCTTTCGTTTCTAAAGTCAATATACTAGAGGAAGGCAAAAATAATAATAAAAGCGACGTATTTTGTGGCAAAGTTATCTTGGAGTAAACGCTGTAGTTGCAAGCAGGTTTTCCTTGTGGCAAATGGGGAAAGAGTTAACAATAAGGGAGGCCGGGCGCGGTGGCTCACGCCTGTAATCCCAGCATTTTGGGAGGCCGAGGCGGGTGGATCACGAGGTCAAGAGATCGAGACCATACTACAAAAAATTAGCTGGGCATGGTGGCGCGTGCCTGTAATCCCAGCTGCTCAGGAGGCTGAGGCAGGAGAATTGCCTGAACCTAGGAGGCGGAGGTTGCGGTGAGCCGAGATGGCGCCATTGCACTCCAGCCTGGGTAACAAGAGTGAAACTCCGTCTCAAACAAACAAACAAACAAACAAACAAAAACAATAAGGGAGTGTGTCCTTCTGCTGTTCCTCCATTTGGCAGTCTGGAATTCAGATGTGATGGCCAGAACTCCAGCAACAATTTTGTACTATGAGGCATGTGGTGGGGGTTAGATGCATTCTAGGCTCCCTTGGGATTTTCAGGCAGAGGACACCCATAGGAGCCCTGCTTTACCTGTGTTGAACTGTTTTGTTTGTTTAATGTTGTTGTTAAATTGTAAACAAACTTCTATGTTGTTTAAGTCACTCTTATTTTATATATAACAAAAACACTCTGAGGCTGGGCACAGTGGCTCATGCCTATAATCCCAGCACTTTGGGAGGCTGAGGCTGGTGGATCACTTGAGGTCAGGAGTTCAAGACCAGCCTCGTAATGGTCAACATGGTGAAACTCTGTCTCTAGCCGGGTGTCGGATCACCTGAGGTCAGGAGTTCAAGACCAGCCTGACCAACATGATGAAACCCCATCTCTACTGAAAATATAAAAATTAGCACAGTGTGATGGAGCATGCCTGTAATCTCAGCTACTCAGGAGGCCAAGGCAGGAGAATCGCTTGAACCCGGGAGGCGGAGGTTGCAGTGAGCCAAGATCAATGCACTCCAGCCTGGGCAACAGAGGGAGGTCCCATCCCCAAAAAAAAATTAGTCAGGCGTGGTGGCGGGCTCCCATAATCCCAGTTACTCAGGAGGCTGAGGCAGGAGAAACGATGGAGGTTGCAGTGAGCCAAGAGCATGCCAATGCACTCCAGCTTGGCGACAGAGCGAGACACTGTCTCAAAAAACAAAAACAAAAACAAACAAACAAAAAAGCCTCCTCTGCACTAAGCGCACAGAGATGTGTGTTCCAGGATGCATATTAACAGATTATAGCAAGCAAAAACTAGTGAATAAGTTTACCTCCTTTACCACCTATTCTCTGACTCTGAACCTCAGGTCCTGTCCCAACCAGGATTTGATCAAAAATCAAAACTTAGCAAAAGTAGTTGGTTAGACACTTGGGGGCAAATGTCTTGCAGAGAAATGAAAAAAAAAAAAAAAAAAGGGAGAGAAAGAGGGAAAGAGCAGAGGAACAAAGAGCCCTCCATATGGAATTTGGCACCAAAAGTATAAATGTATAACTTGAGAAATGTATAACTTGAAATAACAAAAGTTGTTTCACATATCGAGACTCTAATTCATAAAGGAGTCAACACTGTAGTGACTCTCTGTATTCTGAATATTTCCCAAGATAGCCTCAGGCATTCCAGGAGAAATGAACAGAAACACAGTCCCAAGGTTCAGGCCTGACTCATCCTTCCGGGTCAAGACAGCAGACAAAGGTGCAAAGCAAACCAGGATGTAGCAAAGGCGACATGATACGCCTAATAAAGAGGGCTAAGTCAATAGTTCAAGGGAGTGGGCGAATTAGCAGATGATGGTTACCTTTGCCATATGAAAAGCTATTAAACTAATGACAGTTCCTTGAGGTGTAGAGTTAAACATTTACAAACATCAGTAGCTTTCCCATGGAGGGCTGGATGGGGAGATGAGGGCAGACGGGGCAGAAGGAGCCTGACTTTCTTGCATGTTCAACAAATCCTAGGCACTGAAAGCCTAAATCCCCACTCACCACAAAGAATTCTCTGGTTGGAACCCAGGCTGCCACAGCTGTGTCACTTGAGGAATATGATTTGGCTCTGGGGGTCTGTTTCCTTGTCTGGAAACCAGCCGTGGTGGGGTTGTGTCCCCACGTGACCCATCTGCCCTATGGCCCCGGCCCACTCCCAAATTCTCTCCTTCCTCAAAATGCAGGTGTGCTTTTGGACCTGGAGGACTCGGTGAAGAACGGTCATCAATAGCAATGAAGGGGACTTCTTAGGCAAAAGGAACTACATGTGCAAAAAGGCCTCAGAGAAAAGGAGAGATTCAGAACAGGTGGAGTTTGGAATGCGTTGGGATAATTTTACAAGATGCATATTGCCGGGCGCAGTGGCTCCCAAAGTAATCTCCGAACTTTGGGAGGCTGAGGTGGACAGATCACGAGGTCAGGAGTTGGAGACCAGCCTGACCAACATGGTGAAACCCCATCTCTTCTAAAAATACAAAAAATTAGCTGGGCGTGGCGGCGGGTGCCTGTAATCCCAGCTACTCAGGAGGCCGAGGCAGGAGAATCACTTGAACCCGGGAGGTGGAGGCTGTGGCGAGCCGAGATGACGTACAGTGACTGTGCAGGGCTTGTTTATTCATTTAACCAATATTTCTTGGGCACCTACTGTGTGCTCAACCACAATCCCTGCTCTCGGGAAGTTTTGGGAAGCAGTCACGAAGCAGAATAAAAAACAGAAATATAGAACAAGCCAGGCGGCGGCAAGGACTCCTGAGGAAAGCAAGGCTCCTGAGCGGGGAATGTGCAGTTGTCAAGGAGAGGGCGTGAAGGGAGTGTGGGAGTCAGCTGTCCGGGGAAAGAGCATCTAGGGGAGGCAACAGCAAGTGAAAAGGCCCTGGGGCGTGGCCACACCTGCTCTGTCCCAGAAGTGGATTTTGCTGTTCAAAGGACAGCTAGGTGCCGGGCGTGGCGGCTCACATCTATAATCCCAACACTTTGGGAGGCTGAGGCGGGCAGATCACGAGGTCAAGGGATCGAGACCAACCTGGCCAACATGGTGAAACCCCATCTCTACTAAAAATACAAAACTTAGCCAGGTGTGGTGGTGGGCGCCTATAGTCCCAGCTACTTGGGAGGCTGAGCCAGGAGAATTGCTTGAACCCGGAAGGCGGAGGGTGCAGTGGGGCGGGGATGTCCTGGGGTCAGAGGGGGAACCCCCCTCAAAAAAAAAAAAAAAAAAAAAAGACAGAAGGTCAGCATGGCTGCAGACTGTGGAAGTGGGTGGGGGGAGTCAGGGCAGGTCCCCTAGGGCCCTGTGGGTGGGAGCTTGGGGGTTTTCTCTAGAGTCAAAAGCTCTGTGAGTAGGCAGAGGAGACCAGCTCGAACCTAGTTTTTAACAGGATGGTGCTGGCTGTTGTGAGGTGAAACACGAGGTGCCAGGAGGAAGCAGGAGGAAAGCCCTTTTACATTTAGGGTGCTGTAGCAAAAGGGCCAACAGTCACCACAACAGCAGCGACAACCACAGCCGCCACGCATCCACTGCTCATTGTGGCAGACCCTGTGCGAAGCTCTTTGCACACATTACCTATCAAATCCGCCACAATC